GGTCCCGGGGGCTCCCTGGCCCAGGATGTAAGACTCTCTATCCTACATTTGGCAGGTGAGGACCTGCCCAAGGTCACACCTCCAGCACAGAGGTGGCAGCCCCCGTGGCCGCCCCCATTAGGAGGATGCCGTCATGGGGACAGTGACATGGGGGGAGGGCGTCTCCAGGGAGCGTCCAGCACAGCCCCCTCCACGAAGAGCCCCCAAGCAGGCCTGACCTCCCTGTGCTCGTCCACATGCAGAGCCCCGAGTGGATGCCCTTCCTTGGGCTGGAGTGAGGCGAGCGTGTGGGTGACCTGCGCCAGCCGCTCTCAACACCCCTGCCCAGCCAGCGGCCTCTCTCAGGCCGCCCTGGCTTTGCCTGGTGCCCACAAATCCTCACTCTTCTGGGTGCCCCACCCCACAGGGTCCTGGCTTCGCCCCCCTCCCTCCAGCCCCAGGGGAGACGGGGAGGATGGCCTCTGGTCTGGACAGAGCCCTCCCTCTCCTGTCAGTGCAAAGCCGCCTCCTCCAGGAAGTCCTCCCAGATCACCTCTTCCTTGGGCCCTTAGTGTCCAAGCCTTAGTTACCAACCAGCTCAGCCCCAGATGATGATTGCACTCACGCCACCCCCACCCACCCTGGCATCAGGCAAAGACGTTGGGATCCAGACGTGGGACCAGACAGACCTGGAATTCACCCTGCGCCTGCTTTGGACCAGGCAGGGCCTCTCCGAGCTCTGACTCTTAGCTCTGCCACATGGATGGTGGCCCTTCCCTCCTTGGCCCCTCAGGCTCCAGATTCCTGTCCCGCCCCCTTGAAGCTCTGACAGTGGCCCACCGCCCCAGAGTCCCAGCACACCGCTGGGCCAGGAATCGTGCCTGCCTGTCCCAGGCCAGCACAGGGACAACAGGCCCTGGCCACCCCCGGCAGAGTCCCTGGCCAGCCCCTGTGTCCTGAAATTGCTTGACATTACTTCCAAGACCAGCCCAAGCCCCAGGCATCCCCTGTCCTGCCCCACCTAACAAGCCCCTGGCAGGGCACTGCTCCGGGTCCCGCAGCAGGGCCTTCCCACCCCTGCACTGGGGGAGGCCTCTGCCCAAGGGGCTGGTGGGAGTCCCAGCTCGGTTCTGGGGGGCCGCCCACCTATGCCCACAACACCTCCCACCCCAGGCAGCCCGAGCCCACCCTGTGCCTACTGCACCCCCACCCCACGCACCTCCGGGCCAGCTCCACGGCTGCCTGCTGGGGTGAGGTGTGTTCCCAGACCGCCCAGCCGGTGACCACCGCCAGCTGGAGGAGCCTGTTCTCCAGGTTTGTCCTGAGGGAGTGCTGCGCCCTAAAGGTCAGTGGGGAGCAGCGGACTCTTCCCCAGTCTCTCCACCCGCCCAGGCGCTGGCTGCAGGGAAGGGGAGAAACAGGCTAGTCCGGCCCCAGGCCTGGGGCTGGAACTGCAGCTGCCCACCCCCTATGCCCCACGGAGGGCAGCAGCACCCACCTCTGCTCCACACCCCGAAGGCGCCTGCCCAGTCATGGACGCAGGCCCGTAGCAAGGCTGGTGCCCAGCAACCCGTGTCTCTCCACCCCCACCACTGGGTGGGCATCTCAGCCTCAGTGGCCCCTCTGCCATTCTCCAACAGTGAGAAACACCCGCTCCTCCTCATAGGATGGGGATACACGGGGTCCAGCGAAGGCTCTGCCTGGGAGCACCCCACCCCACAGTCCCAGGGAGGGTTGCACCCAGCCCGGTGTCCGGCCGGCCTCGGATGATCCTGAGCCCTGGGATTGGGCGGGAGGGGTCACACAGTGAGACTGCCTTGGCTAGAATCAGGGGCCTCGAGCTGACCCACCTTGCCCCTCCTTCCTTCTTCCGACAGGTGTTCCTGAGTCAGGCTCGACGGCACAGCAACCACCCAAGCAAGAAGCCCGTGTTGGGTGAAGCCGGCCTCCCAGGAAAGGGACACAGACCAGCTGGCCACTGGCTTGCCCACCAGTCAGCTGGGTGGGGCTGTGGGAGGGTGGGAGATGAGTGGCGGGGCTGGGAGAGTTAGGGGAGCAGCAGGGCCATGCCCACCCTCCAGGCCGGGCTCAATGAACGTCCCAGAGGAGGGACCGATCTGACAATGGGAGGAAGTGAATGAATTTGGTGGTGATGTAATCGACAAGAACGTTTGTATTCTACTATAAGTTAATCACTACAGGGAGGTTGCCTGTAAGTGTAAATTCTACATAATGGCCCATCTCTGTGAACCCTGCTTCCCAGGTAGTGAGCATTAAGCTAAAATACCTTTGTTTAGCTCACAGGAAACATCCTGACCAGGCCCACGTGTGAATGACTGCAGGGAGGAAGAAATTCACACACCCCCTCCGGAGGCTGACCGGAACCAGGAAATGTTTGACTTTATTCCCTCCCCTTTTAGTACAAAAGGAGCCTGAATTCTAACTCAGGCACAATGGTTCTTTGGAGCAGGGGCCCACCATCTTCTTGGTCTGCTGGCTTTCCAAATAAAGTCATTATGCCTTGTCCCAACAACTCGCCTCTCTATTATCGGCCTGTTGTGCGGTGAGCAGTACGAGCTTAGACTCAGCCTGCGTCTGCTGGTGCGCGCAGAGTATACGCTTAAGATCGGCATCTCCATTCCGGAGACCAGAAAACTGAGGCCCGGAGGTCAGACAGTGCGTGTGAGAGGTACCAGTGGATGAGGTCACACAGCCGAGGTCACAGCAGGTTCCTGGCTCAGCACGCTCGGTTTGTACACAGCAGTGGACATCAGGGCCTCACGCTGGGGCTGGACCCCAGTCAGATACCTCTGCCCGGCGCGGGTGGCCGCTTCCCCGAAGTCCACACGGCTCTTCCCCTTCCTGTCCCAGGAGCCAGGACAGAAGTCACACGGTAAGGCCTCCAGCAAGAGCCCTCGTCCCTCCAGCCCATCCGGAATCCCAGAGCCCGAGAACACAGCGGGCAGCACACAGGGCTCGGGCTCGCCTGGCCGCCAGGGGACCCGGAGAGCTGACTTGATGAGGCAGGGACTCCTGTCTGTCCCTCCCACCCGCCTTCCCTCTGAAACCATCTCGTCTCCCTCCCTGGCCGTGTGGCCATCTCTGCACCCAGCGAGTCATCACTCTGTTCTCCTTTGGTTCTGATCCAGATTCACTCTTTGGGGTGAAATTCACTCCCCAATCCATAATTCTACCCGCAACGTGGTGGAGCAGATGGGCCCACAGCACCATCTGCTGGCCATTCTGGGCTCTGACCCCAAACTCAAGTCACAGTAGGGGCCCTGGGGCACCAGCGGCAACCCCAACCAACCAGCCCCGAGGCAAGTGAGGACACCGGGGAGATCTGAACCCAGCTGGACCCCAGGCCGCACATCCCCAAGAACAGACGCTCGGTAACACTGTTTCTGGCCTTGCCCTGCCCAGTACGGCTGTGCTGGTGAGAAGACTGGGAAGGTGCAGTTCTGGGCAGGGAGCCGGGACCAGCCAGTGGGGGAGGTGCCCTGGGCAGGCCCCACCCCTCAGGCTTCCCTAAGGAGCCAGCCGGTGACCCTGAGGAAGGGGACAAGACCTCTTCCAGATCTGACTTGGTGCCGGTGGACACTGCGTCCATCTGTGCAAGCCCATAGGCCAGGGGGTCTCAGGGGCCAGCCTGTTAGTTAGGCAGAAACTTGTGAGGCCTCAGGGTCTCCACCTGGCCCCCGCCTGAGGGCGCACCCCTGGCTGCAAACCCAAGCAACAGGTGGCCTCTGCGACTAGGAAACTGGGTACACAGACAGGGGCACCGCTCCAAAGCGACACGGGGGCTTCGGTAGCAGGAGGCACTGCTGGACCACGCAGGTCCTGCCCCTTCCCTCTAAAAGGTGCCTGCCTGCCCCTGGTGGAGGCCCAACGAGCTCTGAGCCTGTCCCCAAGGCCTGGTTCTGTGTCGCTGAGCTGTGCCAGCCTGTGCACGTACCCACAGCTGACGCCCAGGTATGGGAGAAGTGAGGCCAAGAGCTACAGCCTGTCTCAACCCACGCCCTCCCGGCCGAAGTCAGGGGGGCCCCGTGGCTCCCCCGCCCCCTCAGCCCACTTGCCTTCTTTCTCTCCTGCTGGGCCCACAGCTCCCCTTAGTGCCCACAGGACAGGGCCCTCTGGTCTGTCTGGGGTATCCCTGCACCCCCTCCACTGGGGCACAGATACAGATGCCATGACCTGCTCCAGACCCAGAGCCCTCAGGGCACCCCCCTGCCTCCTCCCACTGCTCTCCCCCCAGGCCCCTCCCCCGGCCCTGGGCTGCAGCTCAAGTCCAGCCGTGGCCTGTGTCTGGGCGCCGGGCTCTCCTAGCTCCGTCCCCTCAGGTGCATGGCCTTCCAAGTTCCCCAGGCCCTCTTCGGTCCCCTCTCTGAGAGCAGCTGGGAGGGGTCAGGGGTCTGCACTTGTGGGGCCTGGGCAGCCGCCAGTAGAAACACCGCGGTTCAAGAATCAGAGCTCCCTGCTCCGCCCCAGGCCGCAGAGCACCTTTCCTGGGCCCGCAGTGGGGGTCGCGGGGATGAGAACACACGAGGTCCCAGCGCCCCGCAGAGGGTACTGCGGGGAGGGAGACGAGCGCCCTCCTTACTTCTGGCCCCAGGGGGCGGGCAAGTGCCTCCCCACCGGGCGTCGGCACGCCCCCTCTAGCTCCGATGCCTCTCGCAGTACCTGGGGGCTGTCCCCGAGGCCGCTCGCCACCCTGCGCCGCTCAACCCCCCACCCCGCGCACCCGCCCCCTCCCGCCCTGCGCGCGCTCCTCATCCGGGCCGCGTTCGCCCCGTACGGACCGCGCACGGAACCCACGGCCCCACCACGCGCTGGCCCCCGTCAGCCCCCGCCCGCAGCAGGCCCCGCCCCGCAGCAGGCCCCGCGCCCGCAGCAGGCCCCGCCCCGCAGCAGGCCCCGCCCCGGAACGCGCGCGCGCCGTGACGCACAAGATCTGTGACGCACAAGGTCTGCACCGCACGCCGAGCCCAGCGCCATCAGGAGGCGCCGCCGCGTGGGCGTGGCTATCCGCTTTCCCGCAGCCCCAGGTCATCACGATCTCCCCGGTCTCCACGGTCCCCGCGGCCCCGCAACCCTAGGCCATGGCCCCCGCGGCCGCCAGCCCCCCGGAGGTAGTCCGCGCGGCTCAGAAGGACGACTACTACCGCGGCGGGCTGCGGAGCGCGGCGGGCGGCACCCTGCACAGCCTCGCGGGTGAGCCCCCGCGGGGCCGCGGGGGCGCGAAGCGGGCCGACGAGCCTCAGGCCCTCCGGTCATCCCCCTGCAGGCTCGGCCAGGCCCTGCTCGCCCCCCCCAAGACCTGAGGCGAAGGAAGGAGCGAGCGCCCCGGGCTTTGCCCCCTGCTGCCGGGGGCGGGGGTGGGGGCCGGGCACCAGGCGTGGAAGAGTCCACGGCTCTGGGGACACGGGGAGTCTCCCGTGGAGCAGCGGCGTCGGAGCCCAGTGGAGGGGCAAGAGCGTGGGGTGGATTCCAGACGACAGCGGGCTCCTCTTCGGAGTAGCCGAAGCGAGGCTGGGCCGTAGACTCGGGCGGGTAGCCATGGGCAGGTTTTGAGCAGGAGAGGGACACGACACGATCAGAACAAATGGCCCGTGTATTCGTTTTGCTAACACATTCACTTACTCTGTGCCAGACACTGTTCTCCGTGCTTCAGAACGTTAACTCATTTTATTCTCGACACATCCCTGTGAGTGGGACCTGTTGCTAGTCCCCTCCTTAGAGACAGGGAAGCGGGGATTCCAGAAAGATCTTGTACCTTCCTGAGGTCACAACCAGCAGTGTGGGGAGCTGGGATTTGATGCTGGATGGGTGGTCTCGGCTTGAGCTCCTGGTCACTGTACTACACTGTCCTTGTGGCCCTTCTGGGCTCTAGAGCAGCTGCCCAGGCGGGTCCTGGACGGGGAGGTGGCTACAGGTTGGTAAGTTCTCAGGATACTCGGTGGCCCAGGCGAGGCAGGTATAGATGGAGCAGAGTGGACAGCACAGGAGGCCAGGGAGAGAACAGAGTGTGGTTTAGGACAGTATTAGCCGCGTGGAAGGGTGACGGGGCTGGGTCTTGGCAGCAGGAAGGAGGCTTGTTCCTAATCCTTACGCTGCACCACCCTCGCCCCAACCCCTCAGAAATGACGTGGTTCCTCCTCTCAGGTGCGAAGAAGTGGCTGGAGTGGAGGAGAGAGGTTGAGCTGGTGTCGGATGTCGCCTACTTTGGCCTCACTACACTGGCAGGTAGCAGCCCCTGGCAGGATCTCAAGGCCCACAACACACGCCGAGCCCAGAGGACAGGAGAGGGGCTGTCAGCAGAGTGAGAAGCTTCTGGAGGTGCTTCTCAGTGCCCCCGGAGCTGGGCCACATGCAGCCTCAGGGAAGGAGGGAACCCCGAACCCTTTCCCTAGGTGGGAGGCCAGGCCCTGAGCCCAGGCTGGGGCCTCTGGAAGCTCTGCAGTACCCCTGTCACATCTGTCTGGGACCGTTTCTCCATGGCTGAACCCGTGGCCCTAGAGGGGTCCCAGCGCTGAGCCCTGTCACGGGGCCTGGGCTATGAGGATTGTAGGGACCCAGTACGGAAGTCGCTGGCAGGTCCCTGCCTGTCTCTCTCACCGGTCCCTCTCCCCACAGGCTACCAGACCCTCGGGGAGGAGTACGTCAGCATCCTGCAGGTGGACCCGACCCAGGGCCGAGTGCCCTCGAGGTTGCGCCGTGGGATACTGGTGGCGCTGCACACCGTCCTGCCCTACCTGCTGGACAAGGCCCTGCTCCACCTGGAGCACGAGCTGCAGGCCGATGGTGACGGCGCCTGGCCCTCACGGGGCAGCCTGGCCCCCAGTGCCCGTGGCCAGTCGGGGACAAGACGCTGGATGCGCCGGTGCACGGCCGCCTTGACGGAGCAGCAGCAGGGGACGCTCCTGCGGGCTGTGTTGGTGTTCAGGCAGGGCCTCGGGTGCCTCCAGCGTCTCCACGTCGCCTGGTTCTACATCCATGGCGCCTTCTACCACCTGGCCAAGAGGTTCACAGGCATCACCTACGTAAGTCACAGGTGCCGCCTGGGGCCGCTCTTCTGCAGGGGACCTCCGTCCCCGAGCACAGTCACAGGGCCAGAGCTGAAATCCTCCACTGGAAACGTGGGTCTTGTCAGGTCCCGTTTTGCTGAAAGACCTGCGCAAGTCTGGTTTCCGTAAACTCTGAGGGTAGGGCGAGTCTGTCTTCCTGCCGCCAGCACGTGTGACCGCCCCGCTCTGTACCCTGAGCGCAGGCCTGGGGCCCTGGCTCCTGGGCCCCGTGCCCACCCTTCCAGGCCACCCTGACAGAGGGTCAGGTGTAGGGACACCCTGATGGTGACCCTACAGCGACCCTGTTGCCGCCAGCATCCCCGCTAGCCTCCCCTGGGCTCCGCCCGCCGCAGGCACTCTGACCCTCCAGAGTCTCAGCTGATGCCCTTGCTCCCAGGTTCACCCGGAGGGCCTTCCCTCGGGCCCCCTGCCTCCCCGGAGGTCTCCAGGCTCCCTTGGCAGTGCTGTCCCGGCACGTGCACCTCCTCTCCTCAGCCCAGCCCCAGTCCTCACCGCGTTTGCTCTACCTGTTAGGTAGGGTGTTTGCTAAGCTGCTGCCACAGAGGGGCTGGAAACACGGGCTCAACCCAGTCAGGGCATTGGGGGCTGCCACGGGGCTCTTCCTACACAGGCAACCAGGGCCCTGCCCCTCGGGCTCCAGGCTCTGGCCAGTCTGGCTGACCTGACTGTCCCCATTCCCCGGGGGGAAGGAGACAGAAGCGGGGGGCAAGCAGCTTTCCCTTGGGGGACGTGGCCGGGAGTCCCAGCTGCGGAACATCACCCGGGTAGTCTGGTGCCTTGCTAGAAGCGGGAGCTTCTGTTCCTCTCACGGGGCTGAGTAGCGGGTCTGCCACGCTTGGCGCCCCTCCCATCCCACTGGGCGCCGCTGCTCAGGCTTCCCAGTTCTTTTTCTATGAGGCTTGGGGGCCTGGTCGTCCCCCCTCTCCCCGCGACACCTTGCCTGCAGCCTAGTGACTGCAGGCTTCGAGGTTCGTGGCCGTCCTCGCTCAATGCTGGGCTCCCGCCGGGGGTGACGCCCTGAGCTGTCCAGCTGCCACCCAGCGCAGAGCCTGCCAGGCGCTGCTGCCCCATCCTGCAGCCAGAGGGCAGGCCTTGGCTTCGTCCCACAGGGGAGGCCTGGCCCCTGGGCCACTCAGTGCCTCACGCCAACGGATCATGTGACTGTCCCCCCCTCCCCGGGTCCCTGACAGCTCCGTGTCCGCCATCCGCTCGCAGAGGACCCTCGGGCCCGTGCCAGCTACAGGCTGCTGGGGCTCGTGTCCCTGCTGCACCTGGCACTGGCCGCGGGCCTGCAGCTCTACGGCTTCCGGCAGAGGCAGCGCGCCCAGAGGGAGTGGAGGCCGCAGCGTGGCCTGTCCCACCGCAGGTGCGCAGGGCTGTGCCGGGGCGGGGGCTACCCAGCGCCACACGGAACTCAGGCTCAGTTCTGTCCCATCGTCCCCCCTCTCCTGCCAGGAGCTACACAGAGAGAGCAGTTTCCAGAACCTCGCTGTGCACCCTGTGCCTGGAGGAGCGCAGGTACTCGACGGCCACGCCCTGCGGCCACCTGTTTTGCTGGGGCTGCATCACCCACTGGGCCGACACCAAGGTGAGCGTCCTGAGCGTAGGCCCCCGGGCCACCCCCGCTGCACTGGGCCCGCTGTCTGCCTCCACAGCCGCGCTTGTTCAGTGGGGTGGGGGGGGCTGTTTTTAAAAGCCCCCGGCTGGGATGGAGGCAGGGAGCTGCGGTGGCCGGAAGCCTGCCGTGACAGCTCTGCTCCCAAACGGAAGGCCCCAGCCACCCACCTGGGAACCCTCGGAGCGAGAGCCGCCTGCTCGGCCTTGAGATCTCAGGGTGTGGGATCCAGGGGGCCAGAGCAGGGAGCTCTGCCACCTTACTCCTGCACTGGCTTCAGGGAGGGGCCGGTCCCGGGCCCCCGTGTACCCCCGCCCCGTCTCTCCTTGGGGCCTGAGGTCAAGCCTGCCTCGTTACTGGGATGTCCTGTCCACACGCTGCCCAAGGAGCCTTCCTCAGGGCCTGCAGGGCGCGGTGGCTGCAGCCTCCTCCGTGGGGTCCAGGCCGCTCTGCGAGGCCCTGGGGCACACGCATGCCTGGCAGGCAAGGGGCTGACCTTCCCGGGCCAGGAGGGACCCGGCCCTGAGGGTGGGGACAGGGGACCCGTGAGCTCACACCCAGAAACTCCGAGAGGTTCAGGGCAGCCACGGTCGTTCCGCAGCCAAGCGCCCTCCCTTGTCCCAAGTCACCCGTGGCCTGGCCGTCTCCTCGCTGGTCACCGTCCCTGCTCTGCTCCCCGACTGCCTGCATCATCTCAAAAAAATGTTTTTCTGTCCTAATGGAGACGTGTGTACATCCGTGTTTTACTGGAGATGCCAGTGGGGGAGGGACCCCCGGGGTTGTAGGGGTCACAACCCATGACCTTCCTCCTCCCCCCACAGATGGAGTGTCCCCTCTGCAGGGAGAAGTTCCTCCCCCAGAAGCTGGTCTACCTGCGGCACTACCACTGACCCGACGGAGGGAGGAACCCAGGAGTCCTTCCTGATGTCAGGAGGAAGTTTATTCTCAAGGTTGACAAGTTGACTGCACTTGCACAGAAATCATGAAACTCTCAAGTCTTTTATTCTTTGTCACATAAGATACCGTGCCAGCCGCCGGGGAGGACAGGCGCTGGACCTGGCCGTGAAATGGCTTCAGGGCAGGTTGGGCAGGGCCTGCAGGGCTGCCAGCCAGACAGCTCAGCACTTAAACAGAACTTCCCTCCCTTCCCCAAACCGGTCGTTTATATCCAATACCAGGCACACAGTGAGGGCAGGGCCAGACGGGCCAGGACTGAACAAGGGCCGGGAACCAGCAGCCTGCCTTCCCAGCGTGGTCAGTCTTCCAGCCCAAACGACCCACAAACCTTAACCCTCGTCACTGGAGCTGGCTTTTGGGGCGAGGGGGCACAGCCCTTCCCGGAAAGGAGCCGTGATTGCCCCCTAACACATTTGGCAGGTGCCTTCTAATAAATGTCAAGTTTGTTTCCCATTTTAGAAAATGGAGGGCTTCCCTGGTGGCGCAGTGATTAAGAATCCGCCTGCCAATGCAGGGCACATGGGTCCAAGCCCTGGTCCGGGAATATCCCACATGCCGCAAAGCAACTAAGCCTGTGCGCCCCAGCTACTGAGCCTGTGCTCTAGCCTGCGAGCCACAACTACTGAGTCTGCGCGCCTAGAGCCCGTGCTCCGCAACAAGAGAAGCCACTGCAATGAGAAGCCCGCGCACCGCAACGAAGAGTAGCCCCTGCTCCCCGCAGCTAGAGGAAGCCCGCACTCAGCAACAAAGACCCAACCCAATGCAGCCAAAAATAATAAAGTAAATTTTAAAAATAAAATGGAAGTGTGTGTCCTGGCCTCTGAACACGAGCCGTCTCCTCCTGCTTGGAGCGCCTGGCAGGCCCCAGCCAGCCTGACCCACTGAGGCCACCCGTCTCCAAAGCTGGTGGTGGGCCAGCTTGCCTACACCGGCTCACTGCTGTGTCCAACACACTTCCTGCCACCTTTTTTGTTATTTTCAGGTTTTTACATGTACCTAAGCTGTGCAGAGACAGGACTTTGCCGTAGGCATCCTTACAACAGCAATTCCACAGAAGTGCTGGTGTGTTAGCGCCGTGAGGTGAACGGAAGCCCGTGTGGAAGGGGCCCTCCCAGGGCCCCTGCAGGCCGCTTCTCCCTCCATGTGACTCTGTGGGAGCGGTGATGCAGGAACAGAGACTCCTCGGTGAGCAGAGGTCAGCCCCAGAGGCAGGCCGTGACCGTGGGCCCTGCTCCGGACAGGCAGGAGCCCCAGGGGAGGCTCCACGGTTCCCAAAACCCCTTACTTACACTCACCAAGTGCCTGCAATTTCCCATATTTCCCTGTGCATTTACCAGGAAAACAGTACGAAAAACAAAAGAAAAAAAAGTCTAGAGTCTCAACACCTCAGGTGCCACAACGTGGTAATAAAAGTACCGATTTGGACATCATTTCCACGTGAAGTTAAAATTCAGGATCGGGTACACAAATGGTCTTCATACGGCCTCTTAAAAGCAAGAGGAGCTCAATTTCAGCTATGCAAAACCTGGCAAAAGAAAAGCCAGGCGGTAAACACTCGATGTCTGAAACCCGCAGACAAATGGAAACAGCGCTTGCGGCAGGGAGTGGGAACAGACCCCCGGTGTCTGGGCCGCGGCCTCAGCAGCACGGCCCGCCCTCCAGGAAGGCCGCACTCCCCTGCCAGGCCCTCACAGTGCCGGAGGCGTAGCGGGTTAGATGAAGACTACGGAAGAGCAGCGACGTTGTCTTTAATGAAGTTGGAATTAAAAAGTCACTCGGTAAAATGTTTACGAGTATTGGTTTTTATCACATCAAAAAAGTTGACATGCAGGTCAGAGCTGTTTCCCTGTAGAAAGTGGGAAGCCATGTGTTAAAAGCCACAGAACTGGCTGCTCCTGCCAGGTGTTTCTGAAAAGGGGCTGCTGCATGAGAACACGTTTAAGTTAAAACAACCCTTCACGTATCAAAGAAATGTGTCAAAATAATCTCAAACAATTAAAATATATATATTTATAATTCCAGGCCCTCAGAAGCAATCATGGTAGTTAAGAACGAAGTTTTGAGTCATCATGATAGAGGCCAACTCAACACATCTCTAGCGAGATGAAATTCGGAAACCGGCATTAGAGCCCAGAGTTGCTGCAGAATCTCCTCCACGCGCCGGACGGACAGGCGAGCGTCCCCCGGGGCCACGGTGAGCGTCCTGGGAGGCAGCAGCTGGCGTCCTAGCTCCTTCCGCGGGCCCGGCCCCCCGCCCCCGCCCCCCAGCCCACATGGCTGTCCACCCGGCCTGCCCTCTGCAAGGCCAGCGTCTGGACGCCTGACCAGCACTGGAAAATAAATCAACGCGATTCGGTTTAAATGCCAGTTTCTTCAAGAACCTGATATTTCAGTTACAAATAATTGAAGCTCCTTTTTAAAAAGAAAATAACTCCCTTGTAATCAACTACTTTATGTGAGGAAAGAAGACGGCGTCACAGCAACTTGCGGCCGTCCAGGGCCCGCGGAGGGCAGCCGCGTCTAGCTGGCGAACGTCTTGCCCACGTCCTCCTTCCCCTTGTACGTCCTCTTGCCGTGCGTGAACGGGATGTACCGGTACTTGATCATGTGCTGGGGACAGGCAGACGCGTCTCAGCACGGCTTCCCCGTGACCCACCTTCCCTCCAACTCTGAGCCCCACCTTCTCCACATACCAGGCGTGGAGCCAGAGCTCCGGCAGACGCCCCCGTCCCCCAACTGCCCAGCGGAGCCGGCCGAGCTGCTGGAAACCCTGAGGGTGTGGGATGGGCTTCATGACGCCCTGTGTGCCAGACGGGCTAGCGCTACTGAGCTGGGGACATGGGATAGGTGGCACCCGGGCCCAGGTGGTTGGGGGGGTGGGGAGGCCAGGATGAAGCCGCACCACCCTGTCTGGCAAGGCCCATTCTAGGGTGATGTTGGCAGAACACACCATCCAGGAGGTCCTGGGCCCTGACTGTCCCGCAGTATGATGTGCCAGACCTGAGGGTGTTAACTGGCTGTGCTGTGCTGGCGGGGAGCGGGCACCACACCCATCAGACCTGCAGGGAGAGCAGGGTCCACACAGCTCTCCCGTGTCTCGGGCCCAAGCCGGCTCTCCCAAAGCTACCAGTACTGGGTGGCACTGTCTCACGGTGCAGAATCACCTGGGTTTTTACCTTTATTTGCCTCTTCATCGTGATACAGAAAAGCATGATGAAGTACATGACCAGGATGGGCCAGAACACCGGGACGTTGAATGCCTCAAAGAAGGTGCAGACCATCGCCACCAGGATGCCCTTGGTCGCTGCGTGCCTACCGGAAGGAGAGAAGGTCAGTGCTGGACGGCAGCCCCGAGGAGGGTGTGGGTCTCCACTTGCGGAGCGGGGTGGGCGCTGCGTGTGGCGTGTCTGACGTACTACGTGTGACCACGGACACAGCGTTCTTAGTCCCTTGGACACTCGAAGTTTTCTGAAATTACAGAAGTGTAAAACAGCAGTGGGGGCCCCGGCACTGCCCAGGCCAGCAGCTGGGGGATGCAGATGCCCCCCATGTGCTGCTGGGGCCCACGTCTAGAAGTCCAGTCCCGAGCCTCAAGGCTTGAGTCCCACACGCCCAGCAGGCCGTCCCCCAGTGGCCGAGCAGTGTCCCCAGGAGAAGCAGGTGGAGTCAGGCCTCAGGGCCACCATCCCTCCGGCTTAGGGCCCAACCATCAGGTTCACAGCCCTCCTTAAAATCCCCCTTGGTCTCCCTTTCCTAGAGAACAAAGGCCACCTCAGAGGGCGGGCAGGACCCGGCCTTGCCCGCTGCCCACCCTCCCCCGGCAGCCCCGGGCCCAGCGTTTCACACTCATCCCACAGGGACTCACCGAGCACCTGCACGGCCACCCCTGCACCAGGAGGACAGGCTGAAGGGCGGCAGCTCTTTGCCTTCACTTTTGTGACAACACAGGACAGACACGTTCACAGACCAGCCCCCCCCCCCCAACACACACACACACACACACACACACACACTAGGGGGTCACCTCCATCCTCCTGTCACATTCGTACTTGTCACAGCATCACACACACGTGACCGCCTCCAGGAGGCCTGGGGACGCCCAGGCCACCCCGAGGACCGAGTGGGGAGAGAGCTGGGCCCCCTTCGGGCCACCGGGGGGGCGCCGTGCACAAAGCAGCATCCCCCCGAGGCCAAGTGTGCCACATACCCGGGACCCGCCTCCCCAGAAGCAGCCTCTTTTCTGCGGCATCGAGGTGCAGCAGTGTTACCTTGGGAGGGGGGTGGGCACTACAAGGCCCCATTACCCCCCTCCACGCCCAGCGGGCACGCTTCACATTCTGGGTGAGTCAACGTTCAAAATGAGGAAACACAACAGAACTGGCGTTTCTCCAAGGAGTCTAAGCTGCTGGCTCGCTGGGACCGAAGCGCCTGCCCCCGTCTCACGGCCGTGCGTGGGGCGAGCGTCCTTCGCAACCACCGTTAGGAAGTGACTCACCAAAACTTAAACTCTGGGAGCCTTCGAATGAAGGGCCGGAACTCCTCATTCTGTTTGGTTGGTAACGAGGGGCCATCATCTGAAAGGCAGAATGTCACCCGGAGGTGAGGCACACAGTGTACCTTGTCGTTTCCACAGCTGCCCTTTTAAGGTTCCCTAGAGCTTGTGAACCAGCGGGCCTGATACGTGACAAACAGATTTACATCCTTTAACCGGACATAAAATGGGGACCTTCAGTTGATTTAGAAACCGATTCACTGCTTTAGAAAATCTGTATTAGAATTTCTTTTTAAGACCAGTTTAAGTGATCACATAAAAATTCAACCACACGCCGATTTTCAGGAACGTGTCAACTGTACAACACGAGGTACAGGGAGGATGAAAGTCAACATCCCACGAGAGCACACAGGCGGGAGCTGTGCATCCACTCTCAGGGGCGCTGGGCTTAGGACGGCCACCCTCTTCAGTGAGCCGCGAGCCGGGCCTCGGGCTGACGCCCCCAAGCCGCCTCCCACCCCATGTGGGAAGGTGCCCTCCCCAGTTAACAGATGGAGAAACTGAGGCCTACTGAAAGGGCCTCTTGTTTCCTAATCCCCCCAATGCAGCACCAAATGAAAGGGTTGTTTCCTTTGCTATTTTCATCAAATACTCCACAGAAAAAAATACACAGGCTCCGATCGTGATGTGAACAGGCTGCGTAAAGTGTGCCTCTGCCGTTAACAACTGTGCCTCTGACTCCATGGGCTCCACAGGAGCTGCGTCGGGTTTTCCCAACAGTGGCTGCGACGTGCCGGAATGGAGGCCTCAGCATCTGGTCGTGAGCCATCCCCGCCCCCAGCTGGCCCAGCAGGTGTGTGCCAAGGCCCCCACCTGGCCCAGGTACGCCAGGAGCAGCCAGAGCCACGAACCTTTCAACCCATCGTCCTTAGGGGACACTGGGGGGCCAGTGGCCTCAGTCAGCCA